CCGATCATCAAATCGGTAAACTACTGGTTCAATGGTTCACTGGTCGGACCAGTGGTCGAACCGGTTTAGTTAATATATAATTTATTTATTTATTTTATATGTATAATATATAATTGTATATGTATCAATATTTTAAGTATAATTTACCATAAGCAATACTAATTCATTAATCTTTTTTTTGTTTAAGTTTCTTTTTTCTTTTAATATTGAGCTTGCAAAAATCTCAAGATAGTAAATAATTGGGTTGGGTTGGTGCCAAATTGCCAAAATTCCAACAAGTCGCGCCCCAAATTGCCAAAATCCAATTTTTTCATTCCAAATTTAAGAACCGCTGGACCGGCCAAACCGTTATCGGTTCACCGATTTTTCTAGTTTTTAACCGGTTCAATAGCGGTTCTTGCTCTCAGCGGTTCAAACACTCAAACCAGACCGGTACTATGTCCGGTTCTCGGTCCAACCAATTTTCATAACATTGCTTTAAAGTCAATCCTCGTAGAATAGGATAATGCGATATAAACTATTATACATATATCTTTAAAGTCAATCCTCGATCGTATAATCGTATGCATCAATAACAAACGGTCCACCTCAAATTCTAAAATTTTATTTTCATACAACATATACTAATTAATTAATCAATTTATAGCTACACAGTTGCATTTCGGCTTTTAATTGCATCTACCAAACAAAATATGTTTGTGGTTATATAATTTGGTGTTAGGTAAAAGTTAAATAGGAAAGCTAAACTAAATGGATCGAAATTATTGAATACCGCTGGTTATTATTCATAGAAGCATCCAAAAGTTCGTTCGCTATGTTTGATAATATTAGTTAATAGTTTATGTAATTTTTGAATTTATAACTTATGATTTATAGCTGAAAAACTAGTTTATATAATAAAAGTGTTTAGTAAAATTAGCTGATAAGCAAGCTGAAATAAAAAAAAAAATAAAAATCAACTAGCTTATTTGAAAAGCTACGTAAAAACTTATGAGATAAGCTCGAACTTTTTAAAAAAAATTCGTTCTACCAAAACGGGGCTATAATTTAAATACAGGAAACTTATATAAGCAAACCAAATAAGCTATAAGTTAATTTATTTAACTAACAAACATGATACATATGGATGAAATATTTATATTTAATAAAGTATCTACAGAACTACACGTAGTATCCCTACGCAATTAAATGATTGCATAAGTACCAACCAAGTACATCCACTTTTCATTGTATTAATATCAATTAAGTACAATTATGGAAATCTATCGGCATTTTATAATTTTAGAAGTCCCCCATCTGAACATAACAAACTCTATCAGAATATATTATAATTTTAGAAGTCAAGATGCAATTAATTATATATAGATATAAACGCTGCAAACATTCTTAAAAGTGAGGTGACCATCAATGGCTCATACCACAGTCTCTAAAGATGTCTGTCCACAGGACTACGATGAAATGGCTCGATTTCTCGACCAAACCGGAGTACGTCAGACCATCAGACCGGAACACAACATCAACGGCTTGTTTTCCGATATCGTTGGTGGACTTCTTAAGGTCATGTCTATTGAGAAGGGCAAAATCTCGTGCTCCCTCGATGTTAAATCTTCCATTCTGGTTAACTTCTCAAACATTTATAAACTCTGAATATTGTTTCAGTAACAAAATTCAGGTGTTATCCGTTGNCGTACTCGATAAAATATTTATTTTAAGCATTTAAGCTAGTTATAAATTTGTTCATGCTGATTTTTAAAATATACCTATCATGCTGATTTTTAAAATATACCTATCTATTAAAAAAAAGTATGGTTGTTTTATCGGTTAGATTTATCATTTACTAGTATTCGACTCTGTGCAAATGCACAGTGTAAATAGAATATTATAAGTTATATTTATGCATATAGTATTAAAATTATAAGTTATACAGTGATATTATACTTTTAAACATAGAGTATTATAAGTTATATTTATGCATATAATAATAAAAATATAAATTAGATAATGATATTATGTTTTAAAATTTGATCATTGGTTAAAATAAATAGTACATAACTATTTGATTGCATATGAACCACTATATTAATTACATAAAATATAATAAATAATATAATTTTGATAGATCGCCAATTTATTAGCTTAAAAATATTAAATTTATTGTAACATATTTGATTATGCGATTTTAAAGAATTTTACTATAACATTAAAATAAATTAACTTATTTAAAAATACAACCGCTAAATAAGATAAAAAGTTATAATATTAATTTTAGAATAAATAACTTTAGCAAAAAGTTTACAATATTTTTTTATGTTTATGTAATTTTCATATATCATTTAGTGTAAACTATAGTTATTAGTTTTAATAACAGCTATTATATGATATAATAAAATAATATAATTATTAATCCATTAATATAAAATATAACGTTTTTTGTCTTAATTAACCATAAAAAAAGTGCAATGAAATATTTTAGCATTAATTAAATATGATGGATTAATAATAATAATAATAGAAGATTGTAACATAAAAAGATGGTAAACAATAATTAATATTGTTAACTATAGAGCGAGATATAAATGATAAAGTTTTTAACGATTTTTGGAGGAAAATCGAAATAATTTTTATTGGTATACACGACTCGTCTTACGTTGAAGTCGATTTTCGGTTTAAGGAATCAGGGCAATTGGTATACACGACTCGTCTTACGTTCTTCAATATGCCGGCTTCAAGTCTATGAGGCATATCTTATTAGATGCTAAAAGCGCGCGTATGATTATATGAATGTGTAGTTTCGAGTGTGTGTGCGCTTTTCATGTATAATAAATATATTCAGTCTGCACACGGACAAAACTAATTAAATACACTTTGGCTTGTTTACAATTCACATGCAAGTCAATTTAGTTAAAAGCCTCATGTCCAAATGTTTTAATCGAACACAAAATTTCATACATCAGTACAACACCTCAATCCGGTCCAATGTTATCAGAACCGTCATTTGAACCATTTCAATTGCCTACAAAAAAAGTGGCGGGAGAGAATTATTCATATATGACTGTATTCACACGTAGTCCTCTTTTCTTAACGTCTTTGCCCACGTAGGTCTGTTGAGAACTTGAGATCCATACATCTTACTAAAGGTTATCAGTGTAGGAATTTATCATCACATAATATAAACTCAATAACAATAATCCTAGAACATGCTTTAATTTTAGGAAAATCAACATCGCGCTAGATCTAAAAGATTGTTAAGAATATCTGGTTACATTAAGTTTCTTTTACGGAACACGAACTCGATCGATTGATTGGACCAACTGGTATTGTGGAATTCCTCAACTAAATCGCCTTATTCCTCAGATGGGACCAACGTTTTCAATTCTGATGGAGAGAAAAAAAAAAAAAAAAAAACTATTATGTATCCACCCAATCAGTCCATATCAATTATCACCTAAACTTAATGATATTATGTATCCACCCAATCAGTCCATATCAATTACGTAGCCCATAGACTCTACTTTATTCAGATTCATTAATTAATTGAATAGCAAATATAGTTGTATATAATATGATTAGTTCGTACATGTCGTTGCATGGTCTTGTATTCATTATCTATCAATTTTAAAAGTGTACCTCTTTTTGGAGCCAGGCGAACAGCGGATGCAAATACATATAAAATGGTTATCACATTTTTTTTGTATCAAGCACCTTCGTAAAATGCCTAGTGAATATGTCGGATATCAACTGTCGACCCCCAAGTCTGGGGTCGGCGACCGTCCGTGACCTTGAGTAGGATTATTATCGTCAACTGGCTCCAGGTTCTCGAACTCGAAGCCCTCGGGGATATCTTCGATAGTTTTAAAGATGCATTAGATCTCCCGGGAGTTACGTCATCAGGTAGACCCGGAACATCAAGGTATATTGTTGGCGTCAGCAATGAATGTCCACTCGTAGATGCGACATTTTTTCACTTTGGTGGTCGTTCTCCATGATAATGAAAGTGGGGTAAGATGAAGTGAGGGTATTTATAGATAATTTTTTCAATTCTTTTAAATTCTAGAACCGTCGATTCAGGGTCGAACCGGCAGTTCAGATGGTTCAAGGCCATCTTGATTGTTGGATCTCAATGGTCAGATAAATTCAACGATTGATTTAAAAATCTGACCGTTGGATCAATGATTCTGGGTTTGAACCGGCTCTGCCTAGAACCTTAAAAAAAATAAAAATAGAAACAGGTCGTTGGATCTCAATGGTCAAAATGATCGCAAAGGGTCAGACTCGGAACCGACAAAGAAAATCAAATCTTTCAAAAAATTTGGTTCTTCTGTCTGGCCTTTCTATTTCGAAACTGACATTTCCAAGTTTTTTTAAAACTTAAACCTAAACCGGCCCAAATAAAACTACAAGCCGGTCCGATCATGGTCTACTGTTCCGGCCAAACCGTGAATCTGTAGCAATATAGAATTTTATCATTAATTTTATTTTTATAAAGAGTTGATTTCTTTTCTTTTTTTCACTGCATGAGTATCAAGTTGATCAATATTTGACTATTCAGAATGGCTATGGTGTAATATTTGGAGGTGCAATTACGACCGTGGCTGAGAGGGTTGCAATTGGCTGTATAAGAACTGAACATTAGTCGGAGAACCCCTCTTTCTCAACTCATCATCTCTTAGAAAACGTACCAAAACACTTCTTTTTTCCTTTCAAATTTTGCATGTAATTTTAATTTAATGACATGATTAGTTTAGGACGCCCATTTTCTTTTTAATCAAGTGAGATGAGATTCTCTGTCACAGGCACAGCTAGTCGTCAATGGATCTATTGTAAAGAGTGGGAAGAACATAACAGCAGTTGAAGACGATTTCCAGATTAAGGAACCTGGGGTATTGGTGACTTGGTGTACAAGTCTCGTCTTACGTTCTTCAATATGCCGGCTTCCAGTCTATCAAGCTTCTCTTGTTGGATGTTCGAAGCGTATGAATATCTGTATGTATAATATGCAAGTGTGTGTATGTGTGCATGTTTGTGTGTGCACTTCATGCATAAAGATGTACTTTGTCTGCACACAGAAAAACTAAATACCCTAAATATCCTTCACAAGTCAACTTAATTACAAATTCCATGTTCAAAATTTTGAATCTACAACAATGCTTCCAGTACTAAATGGATGTAACCCAAAAAATTCTTATCCCGACTCAGCTGAACACTTGATAGGCCGAGTGCACCTGCTTTTACCGAGGCAATCTCAAGTCCAGTGTTGTTTTTCATGCAACTGTTGCCTGAGAGATATAATTAGAGACGGCACTCTTTCATGAGAAAAGAGAAAATTGACTATAAAAGTACTCTGAGGGGCTATCTCAACTCTCAAGTGTGTTTATTTTTTCAGTTGTCCCTAAATTGTTCTCATCCATTATTTTCTTTCATTTTCGGTGTCTTTTTATTGCTAATATCAATTACGTTCAAGCGGTCCTACTCTGCAGTTTTGTTCTTTGCTCCATACATACATAACACCTAGCTGCTGCCCCATTGTACAGCTTCCATTATGAAACAAAAAAATGCTGAAATGAAAATATTGCAAACCTAGTGGTGTAGAAGTCGGTGATCGATTAAAATTTCATGGAAATATTGCATTTACAAATGCCTCGGCATCAAACGGTTGGAGATCCTCCACGCCTTCTCCAACACCTACAAACTTCACGGGAATACCGAGCTCGTCAACTACACTTACCTGTAATTATGGAAAATTTGGTGCACATTTTACTCGGTTAACAAATAATGATAATCGCAATAATAATTGCGTTCTGGTAAACAAATAGATTTTTTTTTTTTTTTTTTNTTTTTGACACATACCACACATCCACCTCTGGCAGATCCGTCTAGTTTCGTCAAAATCAAACCAGTCACGCCAACAACCTGCGCATTTAGCATTATGTTGCATGACATTCTAAAGCTTAGTAGAAAAATATGGATATTTCTCAATGAACCTACTCCCAAGTCCCATAAGATCATTTGTCTTAAACTCGAATGAAAGAAATTCCTAGGTGAAAAGTCCTTTCTATTGCTCGTTTATAATTATATCCAAATATCTTGCCAAAATACCCATCAGCCTTTACTCCAGTAGTTATTTGATTAAGGTTAATTTTGATTTTTATCTTCAATTTAAATTAGATGAAAATGAGCATACATAGGCTATTTGTCTCACTATTGCTAAGTTTTATCCTTTTTGGCAAGACAGATCCATTCAGATATACGAGGGCATTTGGCACAGCCTACAAGCTTTTCTCAAAATAATTACTGAATGTTAGTAGGCTGTTTATTGTAAGAAAATTCGGAAAGTTTATTGTAAGGCCAAGACCAGCATAGAACTTACATCATTGAATTCCCTTGCCTGTGGGAGCATGTTCAACCCAGTTGTTCCGTCCAACACTTGCAAGATTTCCTGCCAAAATTTAAGAAAAAAAGATTTATATATAGCTTGCTCTGGCCAAAAATCAACTCAACATCAGGTAATACAGTTAGACATAGTTAATTATAAATATATCATTAAGACTAATTAAAAGAAAAACAACTATCTTCCAATACTATAAATGCCCCTAAATCTTTTTAAATTTTACAAACATGTTAGGTGGTGGGGGGCGGGTGGGGGGGGTTGTTCTTAACACCATAGGAAAATGGTTTTTATTTGGAAAGAGATTTGGGTGCTTCTGTATTTTGCAAAAGTTGAGCTAATTTTTGTAATTTAATGTAAATAGGAATCAGAATGCTGACATTGGGTGCGCCAGAAACAACTTTCCCGACAGCTTTCTTGCATGCAATCAGTTCTTCCATAAGGCTGTAATTAGTGTGCAAACCTGTCAATTGCCAACACATGAAGAAAGAAGGTGAAAGGTTGAAATTATTAAATTGGCTAAAAACCAAGTGTAAAATAAGAAGACAAAATGCATATGCTGTAAAACCTTACGTCCAGACGTGTCGCATAAAACAACATCAAAACCTTGTTCTTTTCCCCGTTTCACGGCCTGTGAAAGAACTACTCAGGAGAAACTTCAAAATCACGCGTCAGGATCTATTATTTGCACACATTAATATATTTGTCTTTTTTTTTTCTTGAGTACTAATTTTGGACGTGCCATTTTTCACCTGATGATGCTTTGGCATTTTCTTTTTCAGCCACAACAATCTCACAACCTGTTCTTTCCGCCCATATCTCTAATTGATCACTTGCTGCTGCTCTAAATGTGTCCCCTGCAGCCAGCAATACCTAGTGAAAAAACACAAAGATATGAGATAGTAAAAATTAAGTTCCAAGTGCCAACATTTTTGCTAAAAAACAAATAGCAATTAAGTAAGTGTCAAAAATAACTCTTTCTCGCAAGAAAGTAATTAATTATAAGAGTCGAAAAGTTAAATTCTAAAACAACTCTTTCCCCCATGTTTTTTTTTTTTCTAGCAATAGAAAAAGAAGTGTGTTTGGTATTAGAATATACCAAAGACCTTTTTCATATAAAGCCAAAGGCTGACAATCGCTCGCTTTGTAAAAATCTTTGCAAACACTTCCAAGGCACATTTCAAACATTTCTCATAATGCAGTTCTCAGTACAATAGACCAGTGAGTTACTAACTCAAAGTTACAGCACATAAATACATGACATATTTACAGTAAATGATAACTGAAGTATCAGTCTCACCTTGCTCCCTTCCATTTTCAATCTATTGGCCAGCTTTCCTGCAGAGAGAACTTATAAGTTATGTCTGTGGAAACTTACAAGTAATAATTCCATAAAAGATTTGAAAATACCACGATGATATAGATGAACTTAATGTTTGAAATGTCTCCTAAAGCTAACCAACACAATTCATAAAATTCCGAATTGGCTAAGAAAAAGTTCTAGATTGATGATAATGAAAAGCAAGGTCAAAAGGTAACTTATGGTATTTGATTATTACTCCACATGCAAATCTTTCAGCTAAGCATAAAGTCAAGGACTAGACATTTTGAAAAATAAATAAATAAATAAATAGATAAATGAACTCATTATCCATGACATGGATTTTGACTATACGATTACATCCTCAACAAGGAATGCCGGGGAGCTGTCTGAAACACCTCGAATGGACATTCGTAATTTTGAAAGATGATGACCCT